GACATTTTTCGGTGGTCTGAAGAACTCTGGTAGTCGAGCAGCCGATATGATCAGTAAAGGATTGTTTGGTAGGAGTGGCCGTAGCGCTAGCACATCGGACAGAGAATTGGTGGTGGATGACGAACATTACGTTTTGAAGGTTATCAACTTGCCATTGGTGGAGCAGACGCGCCTAACGAGGATATCTAAGCGGCTGGAAGATTCTCGAGATAAGACAGAGTTCTGGATGCCAGCTTTTCCTTGGCGGGCGATCGACTATCTCAATCTCAAGGGAACGGATGTTGAAGGTCTATACCGTGTGCCTGGAAGCGGTCCGCAGATCAAGAAATGGCAAAGGAAGTTTGACGAAGGTAATAAGCCACTCCCCTTACGATCCCTATAATTACTTGCTGACCTGAGAATAGAACATGACGTCGACTTATTTGCCCAAGACGACCTGTACGATATCAATATCATAGGTTCGATGTTCAAGGCCTGGCTCCGTGAACTTCCCGACGAACTTTTCCCGAAGGAAGCCCAGGAACGTATATCTCGAGAATGTGCTGGTGCAGTGGAGGTTCCCCAGATGTTGATTGATGAGCTGTCGAACTTATCGCCGTTCAACTACTATCTCCTTTTCGCCATCACATGTCATCTCAGCTTGCTGCTAGCGCATTCCGACAAGAACAAGATGGATTTCCGCAACTTGTGTATATGTTTCCAGCCCTGTATGAAGATTGACGCTTTTTGCTTCAAGTTTCTAGTTTGCGACTGGAGATTATGTTGGCAAGGTTGCCGGAACGAGGCCAGATATATCGAAGAGGAATATCGGTTATTCCAGCAACCACTACCGCGAGGATTAAGTTCAGCAGATTCCAGAAGCCAACATTCCAACGACACTCGTGATGATAGGAACCTATCTTCAGCAGAAAGTAACCGACCGCCGCCATTATCCGCCGAACAACAGAACGGAAAGCTGAGGAAGAAACCAGTGCCCGTGGGTCAATCGAATGGGAACATGGCGTTGAACTACTCGTCTGGGTCGAATTCATTGACTGTTAATGGCAACCGAGATATGCCACGCCAGAGTTCAAGAGAACGAGAATTACGGCCATTGTCGCCTATCAAGCCTCTCTCGCCGATGAATTTCTCTTAATTACTCGATTTGTACTACAACGTGCGCTATTGGAGAACGAGGATGAGGTTTTTGGTTGAGCCTGATTTGATGATACCTTTTTTTTTCTTTTTCTTTGTGTCAATAATACCCCCCCAGGAGATGAATGTGGTGCATATGACGGCATTTGGCCTGGCGGTCCCCCTTTTGATGACGATTTTACGCTCCGCTTACGATTTTTGCCTTTCATTTTTCTCCTTGATACTACCTCAGCGTTGTACTACCGTCTGGTTTCGAGTTTTCTCGTCATAATAGATCACCAGTCCGCCAAATCACTGCGTGTTCCCCTCGGCGAAGACGACGAATTTGGATACTTGGGGACGGTAATTTTGTATTGGTTGTGCAGGAATGGAAGGAATAGAACTCATCGTATTCCCTACCACCTGGGTATTTTTCTCAACATTATCAACATTGGACTTCTCAAAATACCCTCCTATCACGGCATACACTGATTTTTAGGATGGATGTGGAATGGTGGTTGAGGTGGCATGGCATTAATATGTCATTCTGATTCCGCACCTTTTGGGTGCGTTTGAGTAACGAGTTTCTACCTACTTGCGGTTTTGAGGAGGAAGGGGAGGGCTACGTTGCGCGAGTGTAAGAAAAGACGAAGAAGACAGAAAGTTGAGCAAAGCGTAGCACCGGAGTTTGGAAACGAGCGATGAGCAAAAAAAGGGTAGAATCTGTACCATAGATTGGAGGTTCTGCAGTTCCAAATATAAACATGCCTAGTCCGCAGCAGAAACGTATTCTCTTTTCATGTCCACCCCTAATCATGACGCCTGAACTCCTGTCTTGTGTGTACCTAGGTTGTGATTTATGACCTTTTGATGCGTGGGTATCAACGTAGGAGTGCCCCCTATTCACATGCCACTTGTCTATCAGCCAGCATTCTCTCCTTCCTCGCGTTGGAGAAATCCCAATCCAACCGACGTAGACAAAAAACGAAGACGGAAAAAAAAAAAAAAAAGAGATCAAGCCTTTCTCCGCTTATTCTTATTGTTCTTATTCCGGGCCTCGCGCTCCTCGCGCTCCTTGGTCTCGTCGACCTCGACGAGCCAGTCCTGCTGGACCATGCCTTCGTCGCGGCGCTTCTTGGCGCCGCCCTTGTCGTAGCCCCAGGTGCGCTCCCACTCGCCCGTCTGCTCGTTGTACTTCTGGGACTTGGCGTGGCGCTGCTCGCGGGTCTTGGGCTTGATGCCCTTGCGCGCGGCGAACTGCTCCCACTTGGTCGGCGCCTTGGGCGTCGGCAGCGGCTTCTCGCGCGGCAGCGGGGTGGTGCTCGCCGGGAGCGACAGAAGCACGCCTGACGACGTTGTGTTCAGAGGCAGGGTGCTCAGCAGCTGGTTGATTAGCGCTTGTGCGCCGTCGCGCGCTGTGGCGGCTAGCTGTGCTTCTAGGGTTGCGGAGGTGTTGGTGGTGTCCATGTTGCTGGATGATTCTGCGGGCGTGGATGTGTTGAGCGGGTTCGGGTCGTTGGCTAGTAGCAGGCCTAGGTCGAAGGTGTAGGGTGTTGGTCGGTTGACCGAGACTTCGAGCTTGGGTTTGGAGGTTGGCGTGGCCATTGTGGTGGTTTTTTGAGGTCTGGGTAGACCTGATAAAGTGGGTGTGTTGTTTCTTGTCTATAGAGAAAGAGAGTCGAAGATGAAAAGAAAGTGGTTAATATGTGTGGTGTATCGTAAGTACGTTAACCGTTAGAACAATGTTCGTGTGAAAAAAGTGCTGGAGCAATTGGATGCGACGCTGGACTTGAAAGAAAAAGATGCGAATGGGTCCTAGAAATTTTGGGTAGACCCCTGTAAATATGCCACTATCAGTCTATCGATAGCGGATCGGATTGCTGATTTCTCCGCTATTATTCTGCTCCAGCATGCAATTATAGCACTACTATGCACCTATCAGAGTTCCAATTCGCAATTTTTAATTGGGCCTATCCGATTGAGCTTTTGAATATTCGCTGTCGTTGATATTGGGAAATTCCACCTTCAAGTTCACCAAGCTCCCCAACCCCGGCAATGGCGAGCGCAAATTGCTGGAGGTGCCTAGCACGGCCCTCGCAGCGTCTACTTGCACCTACATCGCTACTCACACCGGCAGCGTCTGTCCCGGCGGCTGCATTCTCAACTTCATCCACGCAACCCACGCAACTAGCCCGAGGTGGAAAGCCGGGCCAGAAGAATCCCGATGCAGGAATGTCGAGGCATATTCGTGCCGGAAAGCGATTGATATTGGGAAAGAAGAGGAAGCAGGGTGGTGACAGGACCAAACCACCTGGACCTGGCGAACGAAAGGCCTTCCGAAAACGCATCCAGCTCAGCAACGATAATGCGCTCGAGGTCCCTGGTCTCAGCGAGCTGACGGCGGAAAACGTCGTGGATCCTGATTCTGTGGGCAAGGTGGTTGGTCTTCCGCCAGCATTAGTAGACCAGTTGAGGGCTAGCGAGGCGTTCAAGCCGACGCAGAATTGGGGCCTGTTCCGGTCACCACATACGCTGGTTAGGCAGGAGACGGTGGATCTAGCGAAGCAGCTTACAGATACGATTGCAAAGAAGGAGACTTTGAGGCTGGTGGTTACTGGAGATAGGTCGTCAGGGAAGAGCATTATAGGTCTCCAGGCGCTGGCGACGGGATTTTTGAACAACTGGGTCGTTATTAATATCCCAGAAGGTACAGGCCCCTATGCCTATTAAAGACCCTCCTTAGTCGAGTACACATGAGGCTAATGACCATTCGCCCGTATAGCCCAAGAATTAACCACCGCAGTGACCGAGTACTCGCAAATACCCAACTCGGAGCAGTTCTCGCAACCGACCTACATCGTCAAGCTCTTCCAGGCCATCTACAAGGCCAACCACCACGTGCTGTCGCAGCACAAGGTCGAGCTGGACCACATGCACCTCCCGATATCGGTGAACCGGGGCACGACGCTGGCGGCGCTGGCCAACGCCACCAAGGAGCCCGAGTTCGCGTGGCCGGTGTTCCAGGCGTTCTGGCGGGAGCTGCTGCTCCCCGGCCGGCCGCCCGTGCTGTTCGCGCTCGACGGCCTGGCCCACATCATGCGCGTGAGCGACTACCGCTCCCCGGCCTTCGAGCGCATCCACAGCCACGACCTGAGCCTGGTCCGGCTGTTCGCCGACGCGCTGGGCGGCAGGACGGCGTTCGCCAACGGCGCCGCCGTCCTCGGCGTCTGCACCAAGGGCAACTCGCTGACCATCCCGTCCATGGACAAGGCGCTCGCGCAGGCGGCCGCGCGCCAGGCCGGCCTCCCGGTCCCGCCGCGCGACCCCTTCTTCGCCAAGTACGACGAGCGCGTGTTTGACGCATTGAACGGTGTCAAGGTCTTCGACGTCCGCGGCGTGTCCAAGCTCGAGGCCCGCGCGCTCATGGAGTACTGGGCCGCCAGCGGAATACTACGCCTGCGCGTCGACGAGAAGAACGTCAGCGAGAAGTGGACACTGGCTGGCAGTGGGATCCTCGGCGAGATGGAACGTGTTGCGCTTTATGATGTTCGCGCGGCTTTGTAAACTAGGTGCTCACTCACTCACTCGGGTTGTCATATCTAGGTACCTATTTACCTACCTGCGGGAGACTAGAAGCTCCAGGAAGAACAGGGAGTGCAGGTCGTTTTTGTACTGGCTGGCCGTAAGAGGCGAGCATTTGTGTAAAAAAAAGAAAGAACTCTAAGAATATATCAAGCATGTCAATCAAGCAAAGCATATAAGGTTTGCCTTCCTACCTACGTACATAGGTACTAAGTGGATTAATCACCTGCTTGCTATCCGTAGTGAAGTATTAGAATATGCAGCCAATCATTCAACATGGAACAGTGAACAACAACAAAAAGACAGCCAGTCTGGCCGAGTGGTTAAGGCGATGGGAGCGGCTCGCCCTGCGAGGACTGCTGACTTACCAGAAGGATCGTAGCTGGCTGATGCCGCGAAAATTTACCATTGGGGCAATCCCGCGCGGGTTCGAATCCCGCGGCTGGCGTGTTCAATTTTTTTTTCCTTTTTTCCTTTTTTCCTTTTTTTCTACTTCTGCTACCATGACATGCATGCATGCATGCACTTACTGGTAGTAGTAGTAGGTAGGTACGGTGGGCTGTTGCTACTTCTCAAATTGTGTAATTGTCTAGGAACTGGAAGTATTGATGAAGTATGTATGGATGGCTTCGTATTAAAACAGAAGTGGAATCTAGCTACTCACATTCACAGGTACGAATAGAGGGACCAGAAAATGGGCCTGATTGATTGACGTAGAAAAACTTGCATGTTCTGAGCTTTACGGAAGAAGATGCAAATGGATGATGGGTGATATTTTATGGGTTGTAGTTTGCCCCTATTCTCAGGCTCTCCTCATCACGGTACGCAAACAAGTCCGGGGATATTGATGTCAAGTAATTTTTTTTTGCAACTCATGGAACGAGCTTCATTCCTGATATCAAGCAAATGGCCTATGGATCTTCATAGTCGGGTACCTCATAAACAAGCTACTATAGAAAAGTACCTGAGCGATCATTTCATGTCATCTCGTCTGATCTCGATGCTAATTGCGAACCTGAATCCATAACGCCATGGCTCTTATTCATCCCTGCATCTGAACCTTTTCGTTCGTCCACTCTTCGTTGTATATGCTGTACGTCATGTACACTTCTGTACCTAGGTTTTCGGAGTCTCATCTTAATCCGAGTCCTCATCTCCGGCATTGTCATTCGCCGTAATGAAAACTAGTCTGGTTCCGTTACCGGCAGTTTGCCAGACCTATCATGTTAAAGTTAGCAAGGCATCCAGACCCTGGAGCAGAGAATAGAAGACAAAAGAAATTCGGACAGAACTTACGTCAAGACTGGTATACTCATCCAAAGCATTCAACCACTGATCCTCCGTGAACCCCTTTCCAAGCACACGCTCGCGCACCTTGCGCAAGCTAAGCTCCACCGTACCCTCATCCTCTTCGTAGTCCTCTTCGTCGCCGGCTCTGCAAGCACCAGAGTCGGCAAGGGACTTGACAAGGTTGTAGATCCGAGAAGCAGCGTTGAGCGGTCTGCGGCCATTGGCACCCTCGTGTGCGGCCAAGCTTTCCTTACTGGCCTCGATGAGGCGCAGCGCCTCGTCCACGTCGTCGCTGTTGACCATCTGGCTGAATCGCAGACGGGCAAGCGCCTGGGAGAGTCGGATTACACCCAGAAGCGTTCGCGGCGAGATGTGCGTGAACTGCTTGTTCTTCTTCTCCGCTCGGTGCTGTGCTCCGCGCATGCGCACGTACGTCTTCGTGATGTACTCCATGACTGTCTCGGGGAGCGTAGGTCGGTATGTGCGCGCTTGTGCGATGTACGCGCGGACTTCGTGTGGTGTGAAGACGATGTTCGCGTTCGACGCTGGGTCGTCGGAGTTGGTGGGATAGAGGTCGGGGTGTTTGCTGTGCATGTGCACGTACGCTACGTGCTTGGCTAGCTGTGCGTCGCTGTCGCGGGTGGGGGTATCAAGGAGTAAGAATAAGATATCAAAACGTGAAAGCAGAGCAGCGGGCAGGTTAATATTCTCCACGGGCGATATGCGAGGGTTGTAGCGGCCATAGATAGGGTTAGCCGCAGCCAGGATCGATGTTCTGGCATTCAGGGTGGTGGAAATTCCAGCCTTGGAGATGGAGATGGTCTGTTGCTCCATGACTTCGTGGATGGCAGTTCGGTCGTTCTCGTCCATCTTGTCGAATTCATCGATACAGCAGACACCATTATCAGCCAAGACCAAGGCACCGCCTTCGAGAATCATCTCCTCTGTTACGGGGTCACGCATCACGGCTGCGGTGAGACCAACACCACTGGAACCACGACCGGATGTGTAGACACCACGAGGAGCTACCTTGGAGATATACTTCAGCAGCTGGGATTTGGCAACACCAGGGTCACCCATCAAGCACATGTTGATGTCACCACGAATACGCATGCCATCGCCCATCTCTTTTGTAACACCACCGACAAGTAGCAATAGGAGTGCCTTCTTGACGTCAAGGTGGCCGAAAATTTCAGGAGCAATGGACTTGGCGAGCATCTCATATATGTTTCCGGTCTGGCTGACTTGCTTGATGCGCCTTGATAACTTGTCGTCAACCGTCATCTCCTCGTATGCCTTCTTGTGCTGCGTAATATGATGCGCTTCAAGATACGTGTCGGTCAAGAGTCCAGCTCGCATCGCCTGGAAGCCCGTGTATGGGGTAGGAAGGAATATTCCAGAGATATCAACAATATCTCCAGGGTTGATCTGACGCACCGCGCTACCATAGCACATAACCGTAAGAGTACGAGGGATCTGACCAATAGGGACTTGTTCTGCCAATTCTTGAATCTTGACCTCCTGGAAGGGAAGGAACTTGGACGCGCGAGAGGATTGGAACAATTGTCCTTTCGACTGGTTCTCCTTGCATTCTTCCGACGGACAGGCGGTAAGGGGCCCATATTGCTTGTCGTTGACAGGCTGGAAGATTTCGCATCCACAACGGTCGCAAGTGTACGCTCCAACCTGTACGATGGGTTTTACGTCTGAGACTCTGGTCGCAATACCACGAACGGCAATCAGATGGCCAATATGGTCACCCCGTACTTGTCGCACAGCAAGAGCCTTTACTGGTTTCTCGTTGGTCGAGGTTCTCGGCTTGAAAACAAGCGTGTATCGTCTCGTGAGCTGAGCCGGGAAGGTAGAGTCGAGGAGGTCTGGGTTGTTAGTGTTGGCCGCCGCTTCGACCAGATCACGATTTCGGACCTGTCTTCTCTCCATGATTACATCCAAAACATCATCCTTGAACCTGTAGTGATGTTAGCGACCAAGCTATATAGGGAATGGAGAAGCTCGAACGTACGTAACACCAGTTGTAGGCGGGGGCATCTTCTTGTCAATAGCCTGAGATAGGATTTCGACATAGTGTTTGGTATTTGCTTCGATGGAGTCGACGAGCTTCAGTCCATCATTTGTGTCCTCTTCCCACTGCTCATTGTTAATTCTATTCCCCATATGTCCAAGATATAAGAAGCCTTACCGAAACAATGTCATCTAATTCTATTAAAACCTCATTGATCGTGCGATTCGCAAGCTTCTGCATTATGTCGCCATATTTATGCTTCGGCTGCTTTGACGCAGCCTTCTCCTTTCGGCGCTGCTCATGTTGTTCGTCATCCTGGTCCATAAAGTCATATTCGTCGCTTAGATCATCTTCATCGATACTGATCTGTCCGATCGCATGTGTTATCGTCTGCTCGGGCGAGGTCTTGAAGTTTTCGAGGAAGCTCTCGAAAGCGGCTGTTTTCAAGTAATGCGTTAGCTTGAATTACATTTGTAAAATAAAAACAAAACAATAGGTAACTAACCTTTTTGCGCCTCGTAATCGACGATGTTTTTATATTGAAGGAGTGCCATTGTCAATTGTGTGTTTATTCCTCGATGTTGTTGGTGAAGGTGGGATATGGGAAGAATTGCGACTGAATTGATTGAGTCGCAATTAATTGTCAAGCGGTCTAATCTTTGCTTGGGACGGAGGCTGGAAGCGTTAACCTTGTAACCAGGGTTGTTGTAGAGGGGTGATCCACTCAAGGTGAAACACGCGTCGACGCGAATTTTCGCGTGCAGCCATTAAAGAAGAAGTGGATCTCGGTGGTGATCTTCAATTACTTAGATAAGCTGCCAAGGCCAAGAGCAATTGAAGCTGTGACGTATGTACCGATGTACCTTTTATAATCACGTCGATCGGCAAGTGCCTCGGTCCATGGCACATGCGAAAGAAGGTGAAGGTCTAGTCGTGTTTTTGATCCGGATTACAACAAACTGCCGGTCAATATCTTCTAGTCGACAACAATCTTTTCCGGGGAGCTTTATATTTCTCTCTTATTCGATAACTGTCAATGGATTTGGTATAGTCTATATTAGCTATAGCCCAATATGACTTCTCAACGAAAAAACGCACCCTCCACCGCCGCCGAAATCTCTCTTGTTCATCTTAAGAATTGTCTTGTTAACTTACCAACGTCGCTTGTCAATTTACTTGTTACTATTAATACAGTAAGCTCCCCAGTGACTAAAATGTGAGCTTCAATTTTTATACTAAGCTCCATTCCTAGCCAGTTCAAAATGTCATCGTCGAGCTCAACTACCGCGTTCCCCCACCCGCGAATGAGGCCGATGGCTCGCAGCCCTCTCAACGATCCTTGTATGTTGGGTGGACAGGAATGCCTAGCAAACGAAAGATAGCTCCTATAGTAGATCGGAATGGCATCAGTGGCTCCCGCGGAAGTGGTAGAGATCAAGAAGTGGCCTCTATCGAGATCGATGCTACCCTGGCTTCTACGCTTGGACTTCAAGATGGCCAAAAAATTATGGCTACGATCCATGTTGACCCTCCTCTAGCACATACAGTCAACATCGAGCCTTTGACCCCCGAAGACTGGGAGATCATCGAATTACATGCGACATTCTTGGAATTAAACCTACTCTCGCAAATCCGTGCTCTACCGAATCCTGCATATACCGCCACACCAGACCAGCCACCTAATCCACATCCATTGACTCTCCATCTATCTCCGACATCAACAGCCAATATTAAAATAATATCCCTCGAACCAGTTCCTTCGGCCGACGTTCCATTTGTAAAGATTGCGCCCGACGCCGAGGTTATCGTTGCGCCAAAAACTCGATCTAAGCCATCTAAAGGTAGTCGCGAAGACCGTAGTGTAGGTGGCACGTCTAGGAGGAGCGGGAAGAGTTCGGCGAGCACGGTTCGCAGAAAGAGTACACGAGAGGAGAAAAAACCATCTTTGTTTCTAAGGGCTGTGGATCGTAAGCACTGCGACGAGTGGTTTGATGAAGAATCAGCATCGCAGGATCTGAGTATATGGGTCGATCGCGATTTGTTACTATCTAAGGACTTCCGAGGCTTGTCATGGGTTGCTGTCAACATTGTCAAGCCAGCTGGACTTCAACCCCCTATTGACCCCCAGAAACAAC